TAAGCTCGGACAGAAACAGTGCCCCGGGCTTTACACAGGGGCAATCTTATGTCCACTCAAAGACTGAGCACAAATCTGGGTGATGATTTCAGAGGCTTTCATACTATTTCTAATGTCCCCGAAAAGGCCACTTTTTCATTCTATGCATATTCAGCACTCTATGTGTCTCCTTCAGATGGCGATATAAATTAAATGGTGACTTCCGCACAGTAGTTGTTCGTATCTACCTCCAGGAGGATAAGGCCTCTGTCTAACTTGTTCGGCTTTGCATTTCCAGCTCCTACCCCAGGGCCTGGCACTCAATAAATATTTGCTAAATGAAAAAGAAGGTATAACACTCATATGCCCATCACCCTCTAAGAACTATATTTTCAATAGCACTAAGTTTTGTTGGAAAACTGATCTCCTGCCAAAGCAAACATCATGACATTTTCCAGGGTCAAAAGTAAGCGTCCTTCTGGATCCAGCAGGCTATTGCTTCACAGATAATCAGAAAAGGGCGACAGACACCCCAACCTTCACAGAAATGAATCGTCACCCCATCTAAGGAGTCGGCGAGCATTTTATTCTCAACTCCATCAGATCCCCTTAAATAGTTGCCAGCCACAGTAGGCTGTTTCTCCAGATTAATTCTTCTCACCGTTTTAGAAAGATTGCTGGCACATTGCCCTTCATGCTGATCCTTTTCATTCTTCAAAATTCTCCTCCCAGAAGACGGTGGTACAATTAGAGACCGGCATATCAAAGTAGCAAGTAGTCCAGCACCTAGAATTCATAATATGCATTTTTAAAAATTATTTGTCTAGATTTATCTAGATCTTTTCTGATTGCTACCAGTGACTCACTTTTTTTGGGGGGGGGTCCCCTCTTAAAATTCTCTTGTTGGAGATTCCAAAAATAAATAGGGCCATGTGGTAGATGTCCTGAGATGTGCTCCATTGCTGGCCTCACCCCAGACTCACTGCAGCTGTACCCAAGGTTTCCAGCACTGTTAGCTGGCATGCCAGATACACTGTGACCCGTCCTGTCAGGCGATGCCAAAGACGCTTCGATTAATTTTTATTTTAAAGACAGTTGCTGTGTGGGTAGAGTACAGCAACCTCTGGGCAGGGCACCTAATCTGTGTCCTTCACCTATTTTTTCCACCTGCAAAATTGGTGTGACAATAAAAATCTTTCTCTGTAAATTGATAGAAAGCAAAATATAAACTCTCCAGGGCCACCACTGAAACAGTGCGGTGTAAGTCCCATGCAGTGATCTGCTTTCTGCATCCCACAGCACCTCTTTTGTCTCTAACGGGTCTCCCTTGACCAGGTTCCGAGCCCCTAGACCCCAGTATTCACCAGCTGTGCCATGCAACTCTGTGCAAACCAAGTCCAATGAGAAAGTAACTGTCTGCTAAATCACACACCATAGCATTCCAGAGTCAACTGCAGATCACTTTTGGGGAATCCAGGCCACAGCTCACAGGCAGCGATGGCAGATCTTCCTTGAGTACTTACTATGTGCCTGGAGCTCTCTTCAGTGTCCTACGTGAATCAGCTACTAGTAGAATACTAACAAGTACCTTGTGACATACGAAGCAGGTGCTACTGTTAAACTATTTACTTATTTATCTATCTGTCTAGTTTAATGCAGCACTGGGGATTAGCATGTTCATGCTAAGCACATACTTTACCACTGAGCCACCATCCACTGCCCATAAATTATATTTTATCCATGAGGAAACTGGGGAGCTCAAATGGTTTTCCTGAGATCTTACAGCCTCTATGTTATAAAAGTCCAGATCTTAATCGGCTGGCCTGGCCTCTCCCCTGTACTGCATTTTAAGATAATGACAGGAATCGATTCCGCGCCAGCCACAGGACCAAGTACTTAACTTAGATTATCTCGTTAAATCCCCATCACAGACATCTCCATCTACAGATGATAAAACCGAGACTTAACAAGAGTTAATTTGCCAACTGTCTCACAGCTAGGAAGGCACAGGCTCAGAGCCTGATTATAGAGCCTGGGAACAAAACACGAACCCTTGTTGGGAAAGCCAATCATAGGCTCAAAGTAGAGTCTTCTGTGCATTCAAAGGACATGAAATGTGCATGCTGCATCTCATGAGGAGAGAAATTCCTCTGGAGTCCACACTCTCGGGTATGCATGTGGGCCAGGAGGAGAGTGAATTCCTGAGTAGGAGCTTGGCATTTCTGTTGAGGCAGGCTGTAGTCACAGGTTCTAATCAGCAAGGAGGTTCTGGAGGGCAGTCCTAGGGCTAGGACGCTCACCGCAGAGGAGTCCTCCTCCCAGTCACCTCTCAGGCCAATGGAGCTCTGCCAACCATGTCCTTAGCCACAGAGGCTGCCTGTGGCCACATCTGTCTCTGATTTGCAGGTTGATGGGTTCAACACACAGCTTCAACCATAACTCATCCAATACCCTAACCCATTACCCTAACCCAAAGGGCTCCAAAGTGTTTTTGTCCCTTGTTCCTTCTAATCGCAGGGATCAGCGTCTGGCACCTGAAGCCCACTCTTTGCTTCGCCACCACATGAACCAACACTCTACAGTTTCCTCCAGTCCTTTCCTGATCAAACATTGTCTCTGGTACAAGCAGGAGTGCAGTAAAATTGTCCAGGAAATGAGCACAGATACTGGGGAGAAAGGAGGGATATGGCAGAGAATCTTGAGACTCTCCACATTGATGATTTGGGATTTGGGAGGCTGTAGGAGACAGGGAAAATATTTCAGCGGTGAGAGGCCTTTTTGACTAGGAAGAGATGAAATGGGGCATACCTTCTGGGGCACCCAGTTCCACTAGTATGATCATTGAAGAGGCTCGGGAAGAGGGCATTGGGAAGACCAGCCCAGGAAATATGGTCATACAATGAGCGGAACCCCGAATTACAGCCCAGGACTCGTGCACGTACATCTCCTGTCCTCTCGGCCCCTCCCACGGAGACTGTACCCATCCATTGTGGTACCCGCAAGAGCTCACCCTACTCTCCCAAGCAGATTTAAACACGTCTAACCTCTCCCCGAAGGCCCTGAGAGCGTCCTCCGACTGTACGCGGGCAAAAGAGACACCGCATCGCCCCCTAGTGGTACAAGACCGCTCTGCGCCGCGTTCTGGAAGCGTTCCTGAGCTACCCAGGCCGGAGGCAGGGGCGTGCTGGTGAACTGGAAAGGATTTCCACAGAACCTTTAGCTACTAAAATGACTTGTGTTTTACCTGAATGGTGAAGCCTCCAAATGGCCTAACTCTGCTCCCTCTACCTTCCCAGTCTATTTTCCACACAGATAAGCTGGACCTGCCAACGATGTATTTTGATGATAGGTTGCCCCTGCAAAAAGAAAAAGAAAAAAAAATCAGTGTGGTAAGTCAGCAGATCGAGGCTGGAGAGGAAAAGAGAGTTCTTTGTTTCCATTTTGGTTCACTCTGCCAACTTGAAGCCCATTGATTTTAATTCATCTTAAATCTAAATAAGTAGGTAAATAAATAAATAAACCTCTCAAACTAAACGCCATCCCATATTTATCCCTCATGAATAATGAATCAGGCAAATGAAAGAAAAGACCAGAGAAAAAGAAAAGCCAGTCTTGAGGTGGGTGGAGGAGGCAGGGAATGAATTTTGTTGACCAGGTAAAGGTCTGAGCCTTGAGCTCAAAGGCAAGCTATGGATCCCAGAGCCCAGGCCAGGGCTGTCCCCACTGAGCTTCCTGCCTGCTTTCCCTGGAATCTTGGCAGGCAGGCAATCAGCCTTCTGCGCTCTCTGAACTGTCTGAGGCTTTGCCGTCACCCTCCCCACAAGACCGCTCCTGACCCTGGTGAGAGGAAGTGTGAGGCCAGTGGACACTGGAGAGCGTCCAGGGCATGGCTGAAGGAGCCCCCGTGTCCACCTCTGAGAGCACAGCCTGGAATCTAGACCCATCAGGCCACCACAGCAATAAGGGAGCAAGAAAAGCAAAAGGAGCGAAGGAGCCAGCCTGTTTCCATAGATACGAATTTCAGTTGCATTTTATGACAGCCGTGCCAGGCTGCCTGGAGAGGCATTGTTTGGATGCTTGGGGACCTGCTCAGAAGGAAAATGAAGTAAGAAGCAATTTTTTACAAAAAATCTAAGTGCTTTCCTTCCCAATTCCAAGCCAAGAGTCAACTTTACCTCTGGCAGGGGCCGTTCCTCGTAGGATCCTCACTTCAGGTACAGCCTAAGCAGCTCTGTGCCCTCAACCTCAGACCCCTAAAGGTCACAGTCCAGTGATTCTTACAGACAAGCCACTTGCAACAGCCACATGGCTGAGTCCCTCGGTCCCTGGTGACCCCTCATGAGAACAGCCACTGGCACTTTGAATGGAGAAGGCCCACCCGGGTCTCTGTGGGCCCACCGAGGACCTGGGAAGGGCTTCCCCTGCTTCTAGATTCACACTCGTTTTCCCTTCCCACTCGGATAGCCTCATCTCCTGCCATCTTGCCTACCCAGAACGCCCTTCTCTAGCCTCATCCCTCACCTGTTTATCAAACACCCCTTGGGTTCTCTCGTTTGCTGGGCCTTCATGAAATTCACATTCCCTGTACTCAGAAATCTCCTAGGCTAGTAGAGGAGAACAACACATAAGTAAACTATTTAAAAACAACTAGATAGGGTCATGGAAGAATTTCTGGGGAAAGCAGATTCCAAACAACCTCAGCAGATTAGTTGGGGGAGAGGAGATTCAAAGTAGAGGAACTACGTAGGCAAACGCATGGAGGCAAGAAATGGCACAGTAGGGATAAGGAACTCAGGACATGGCAGACACTGGGAGTCGAGTGCAAAGCTATCGGTGGCAAGAGATGGGCTGCGGTAATAAGCAGGTGTCGGGCAGCAGAGTGCTCGGTGCGCCATGTTACAAGCTGCCTTCGCAGAGCTTCTGAAATCCCGCTCCCTGGCACTCCGGAACGCCACAGCGGCACCTCGGGGGCAGGAGCAGGGACTTTTTGCTTTCAACTTGACCGACTTCTTTTAATACATACTTATATAGGTGATAGCGAGCCACAGGAGGGTTTTACGTATAGGAAAGACGACCTGGTCAAATTTGTGTTGCAAAAAGACTATTCTGACTTCCAGTCCCCCCTTCTAAGCCTTCCTCGGGCCAGTTTACTGCCAGAGAAAACCTCTGACAGTAATAATTGATTTACATAAAATATGAAAATTTCTTCTGTACATCTGTGGTATTTGTTGCCAAACTTAACTTCGGCTAAACTTAACTTCAGTTTCCGCTTCCCAGCTGGGCATTCAGAGCCATGTTAGTCCGCTGGCTGTGTTCATGGCGCCATCTAGTGGTAGCAGTGCGGTATGACCCCAAAAGGAGCCCAGTTTGCTTCTAAGTAACCTTTGCATCCCATCGATTTCTAAAATCTTTATTTTCTTATTTAACTTCCAAACAACTCTCGTAGGAATGTTTCATTATCTTATCCGTATTAAGGCTCAGGAACCTGAGGGATGGATAGGACACAATATTTGTTCTGAGTCTCCTGTGGTCTCGGAAGCACGTTGAATAATTTAGGTGAGATTGGCATCATCCCCGCTGCAAAGGCGGAGAAACTGAAGCCTTGGGTGACTGAGAGACAAACTGGAGGAAGTCACAGGCACTGAAGTTTTCTCAATTCCAGGTCCATGTTCTTCTGATGAATCTGATCAGATTAAAAACCTGTACTTGAGTCTAAATGAAATCAAATGGTAAAGGATTAGGCAAGCTTTCTGGAATTCAGTGTAACTGACCTAGGCGACAGCTATTATCTTTGTCATGAATGACAACCAAAGCACAGTTGTAGGTTAGACTTAAGGATAATTATAGGAGGAATAATTACAACCAGACTATATAAATTACAGGAATCTATGAGCCTGAAGCCAAACAGATGCCCAATAAGCCAGGCTTCTGAAGAATGGGTGGCTGCTTTCTGTAAGATGAAGTGTCTCTTTGGGTCAGGAAAAAAATCTGGGAAGTTTTTGAGAATCGGGTTGATAAGGATAATCTCCCCTATTAGCAACCTCAGTTCCAACTGAACCCTGAATTATTTTGGTCCATGTTCCGGGGATTAGAATGTGAATGTTCTCTGCCAACCATAGAGACTGAGCAGAAAAGACCGAGGGCCTATGAAGAGCACGGACCCAGATGAGCTGTAGAAATCATGGTGTTGTTTCTGAGTAAAAAGTTATACGCCTAAGAGAGAGTAATGGCAACTTGAGAGATACGTAAAAAGAGACAAGGTATTTGTTAAAAGGCAAAATTTTAAAATGGAAGGTCTTTCTTCATAAAAAAAATGTATAAAATATGACTGTAATGAAGAAAACATAACATTTGTGTTCTTTCTCACCTAATTTTATGCCTTGGGCGTAGAAGTCTTCCCAAAGCCTTATGCTTTTTCAGAAGTGGCTGAATCTAGGGTTTGTGATTGATTCACGCTGGGACTAGGTCATGAGGATTAAAGGCATGAGTGCTGCCCACCCTAAATAGTCTGAATGAGATAAAAGGGGCAGAAAGACACTGTTAAGGTCCCTTGCCCCTTTGCTACCATGAGCTGCTGCCCCTCTGCCTTGTGCCACCCTGCCGTGGAGCCAGTCAATAGACTGAACCTCTACAGACTGTGAGCTAAATAAACCCTTTCCCCCTTGACTTGGGTGTTGGGTATTTTGTCTCAGCAATGAAAGAAAAATGACTAAGACACCTACCCATGATATCTGAAAATAAGTATAAATCAGGCATCCAGAACCACAAAGAGGCAGCAAAACACCTACAAAAAGGGAAAAGACATCAGGCATGACGGTGTACGTACCTATAATCCTAGCTACTCAGGAGACTGAGGCAGAAGGGCCACAAGTTTGAGGCCAACCTGGGCAATTTAGCAAGACCTTACCTTAAAATATTGTACAAGGAGAGTATGGATGCCTAGGACATTGCATGGGCCCTAAACTCAATCCTAGCACAAGAAGCAAAGGGATGGAGATGATTCCCCCATTCAGTTTTCTAATTTGCAAATAAAAAGAAGCCCAGCAAATGGTGACAATGATGAAATCTATTGCTGGCTGCCCCCAGTTGATGAATAACGTACGCATCCCTTTGTTTTCTAAAAGGCCAGATGAAAAAAATTACTAAAAACCAGCAGGAAAAAGAGGTAATACTGATATTGCTCTGCCAATCCAGTTTTTTAGGATCCAGGGTTTTTTAATTGTTATTTTTATCAGTACCTGTTTGCAGTACATGACGATTACATTCATCGTGGGGAGTTGGTCTGTCCATAACACATCTTAATCCTTTTTACACCCCCTTTCCCCTGCCCTCTGGCCTTCCTCCTTCCTCCATCTCTTGGTTCTCTTCCCAAAATCTAGGCTTAAGTGCTGAAAAAGAAGCTACTCTGGCAAAAATGTTTGTCTAACTGGTTTCCAGGATTTTATTGAAAAGAGGAGACCTTTCTAAGCCAGGCACAAATTCAAGAAACCATAAATTTTTAAAGGACAGATTTGATTAGATAAAAATACAAATTCTCTGTACAGCAAAACACACTAAAAGCAAAGTTATAAGACAAGTGATCAGTTGGAAGCTTTGCAACATATGTAACAGAGAAATAATAGATATAGTCTGTAAAAGAGCCAATAAATCAACAAGAAAAGGGCAAATAATCAATACACACACATGCGCAAATGCACAAATTTCTAGCCACAAGGGAAATAAGTGGGCAATTCAGAGGCAAAAAAAAAAACTCAAACAGCTAGTAAACATATAGTAAGTTGTTTCATCATTCTAGTACTCAGAAAAATACAAATTAAAATAACAGGATACTTTCAGCCCACCCCATTGCAAACACTATAAAGATGGACAGTGATAGTAAGAATACCTAATAAAATATTTTCAATTAGTTCCTACTAAATTGCTTGTCTTAGTTTGCTACAAATTTTTGTTATGAAGTAAAATGTGTTTTATTAAGGTTTTGTAGCTAAGAAAAATTATTTGCATCTGCTTTCCTGTAAATATGATGACTTATTTGATTATTAATGATGAAACATCTTTAGCACTCTTGGAATAAACTCTATTTTGATTGTGATATCTTTTCCACTTATATATATTACTAAATTGTATTTGCTAATATATTCAGTACACACACACACACACATACATATATATATATATATATATATATATATATGTTCATATTGCATATTTTTCCTTTCTTATAATTTCCTTAAATAAAGTATAAAGGTTATTCTAGCCACAAAGAAAGACTGAGAAAGGAAGCTTCTTTTGCAATTCCCTAAAAATTATATATAAAATTGGAGTTACTGCTTCTCTTAATATTTATTAGACATCACCCAAGGAATCATTCAGGTCAGGAGTCCACTTTCTAGGAAGATTTAAAATAAAATATTTATCTTCTTTAATAAAAACATGTCGATCCCCAGTACCAAAAAACAAAACAAAACAAAAAACTATCTATCCCCCAGCACCAAAAAAAAAAAAAAAAAAAAAAACCCCACAAAAAAAAAAACATGAAGAGTACTTAATGAAGCACACTTTTAAAAAGTTATATGACAGGCCGGGGATTTAGCTCTCCTGCCTTGTAAGTGCAAGGGCCCGAGTTCGATTCCTGGTACCAAAAACAAAACAAAACAAAACAAAAAAGTTATATGAGTGTAGTGTAGAAGCCTGTTTTGAGAGCAGCTGGTGGCACCTACCAACTTTCCAATTTTATCTCTCTTGAGAAATCCTGTCTCTGAAATCCATCCTCCCAGAATTTACCTCCCTGTGCTCAAAACATATTCAGAAAGATATTGTCATCTTAAAAGGAGGAGGACAAGGAGGAAAAGAAACCTAATATCTTTCAATGGAGAGCAAACTGAAGGAATTCACAGTACAGCCTTATCATGGGATAGCATTGTAGATGGTAAAGAGATGAG